CTGGGCAGGCAGCCAAGCTGTGTACCAGGACCGCTGCAGCTCCTTTGGGCTGTGCCTCTCACCTCTCCGCACACTCTGGCGCTGTGGTACACCATTCACAGGCCAATCCACGGGCCCCCACCACACCTCAAACATTAGTTGTTCCTTTGACCCTCCAGGCCACTGTCTCCATTATTTATACTTGTTTTTAGTCATCACTGAGACTTTCAGATTTGAGATATGCTGTTTTCTTCTGTTCTATGACTTAGTTTCCTCCCAGTGACAGTTTTCTCTCTTCACATCCCAGCTTATGCATATTACTCAAGTAAAACTCCTTCCTCACTCCTCCCTCAAGGACCCTGGAACCTCTGACCCGGAACTGTTCCCACTTGTCTCACTCCAGCCATACAAAAATCCTTACATTTCCTAAGTAAGTCATGCTCTCTCTTGCTCCAGCACCTTAATATACACTGTTCTCTTCCTGGAATAATTCTCCTCCTTCTTTACAAGGCTAATTTCTCCTACTTCAAGTCTCAGGTCAAGTATCACCTTCTGGAAAGCCTATACTGACTGCCCTTTGGAACTACATGCCCCTCGTTGATGCTTCTACAGTGCACTTTGCACACTTTGATGATGCGCTTGCTGCACTCTACTGGCACTGCTTACTGCTCACTTGTCTACCATCCCCACAGGTCACAGGCCAAGGGCAAGACATCTATGAATCCCTAGTACCTAAATTAGTGATTTCACATGTCAGGTTTTCAATAAGTATTTGTTGAATAAATGACAAGCTAGAATTATACATACTTTACTTACTTCCAAAAATAAATTCAACCATCTTACATTAAAATTTGTAAAAGATACTAAGAAGTGAAACTGAAGAACATCTACTTCCAGCAACATAGCAGAGCTAAGGAGGAAATGCCCTTCACACACACACACACAGAAAAACCTACAAATTCTACATAAAGGGATACACCAAAAATTTTATATAAAACTGAATTGAAAGGAAGAAAAAGAGGGAGGGAAATCCCCATACTAGAAACAAATTGGGAACTAAAAGTTGGAGCAGTGAGTGTCTAAATTTATGTCCCAGGAACTCTGGGCATCTTACAGGAACCTGAAATAATGGCTGGGGGCTTGAATTTTAATACAGAGGCTGGAGATGAGACTTAGAGGCGCACGGAGCAGGCTTTCAGGCTGTCCGGGTGGAAGTGGGGCTGGGGCGGCTGCACCCAGTCCAGGAAGAGGGTAAGGGAGCTGGTCTCCACCAGGGATGACACCCCAGGAGCACCAGCAAAATCCTCCAGAGGGAAGGTTCCAGGCGAGAAGGGTTTCTATTTATTAAAAAAAAAATCTCTGAAGAAAAACGTTCAGTTAAACAAAACACCCAAAGATCTGCTGAATGAGACACAATCTAGATCATCAATAGTCAGGAAGATTAGCATCCCCTGAATATCTCAGAGAAAAGCCCTTAAAAAGATCATAAATAGTATGTTTAAAATATCTAAGGATTTTTCAAAAGGCACTTTGAAAAAAATTACAAATTGGGGAACACCACCAAATAAAATTTCCAAGAGTGGTAAGTATAGTGTTTGAAATTTAAAATACATTCAATAAGTAAAAGAGTATATTAAATATAGCTGGAGAGAATTGATTAACTGGAAGAAAGTTCAGAGGAAATTATTCAAAATGTATCAAAAAGAGATACAGAAATGGAAAATATGAAGAAGGTAAACAAAGAACAAAATAAGAAGATCCCAAGTATATGTTTAGTAGGCATTGTAGAAGAAGAGACTAGAAAAAATGCGAAAGAGGTAATATCTTAAGAAATAATGGCTAAGAACTTTCCAGAAATGAAGAAATTATTCTCAGATTCGAGAATCACAGTGACCCCCAAGTGTACCATTCTGAAAAGCATTTTGACAACAGATAATAAAATTGAAGGTGTGGCTCCCTCATGACCCGGCAACCCCTCTTCTGGATATACACGTGGATACACAAGTGTCTCAGACACATGGATAAGGAGCCATGGACGAAAGGGTTCACCAAAACACTGTTTGTAATGCAAAAAAATGGAAACTAACTGTCCATCTGTCGAGTAATAGATAAACTGTAATTTTTTTCTTAAGATGGAATACCACAAGCAAGATAATAAATCCTAGCTACATATATATATATATAAATGTTGAAATATATGCTTATATATATATAAATGTTGAAAAATGCTTATATATAAAAATATTAAAAGGAAGTGTCAGAAGGTCAAGTATTATATACCTTTTATATACATTTTAAATATATAAAGAAAAATAGCTGTATACGAATGTAGTGAAAATATAAACATATGCATGGAAATGTTCACATCAACCTCAGGGTCATGATTAACTTTGGTGGAGAAAAACAGGGACAGGATTAGGGCCTGGTCAATTATAGTTCTTTATAAAGGAGACATGTGAAGGCCATATGGCAAAATACTATCACCAGGTAAGTTCTGGTGGGATTTATGATAAACTACCTTTGATATATTTTTGAAATATTTTAAAATAAGGAGTTTAAAAGTTAAAGCTATGTCCTAAGACAATTAGAACAAGAGCAAAGGAGAAGAAATTTCATGGGTGTTAATCTCAAATACAGTAAGAAGAGTCACAGTCAGCATGTGGACCTTCCACAAGTCATTTAATCCTTCGGACTGTTTCTCTCACCTCAGGTTCCTGAGAATAAGTATATCACAACTAAGCTCTAAATTTACCTGTGAAACGTACTGCCGATCAAAGCAAAAAGGCAACAGACTATGTTTTTTGTTCTCATTATTGGACAAAAGGAATCAAATTCAAGTACAAATAGAGATTATTTTTCTGTTACCGAATTTTCATGAGCACTGGAAGACAATTCTGCATGGATGTTTCTCATTCCTGTATAGATTGGGTCTTCTGGGCAAAGGACATGGTTGAATAGCAACCATCCTTGGAAGGAAGTATAAACCTCTGGATCTAGTGATATCCCCCCTAAGAGATGTCAAAGAGCACTAAAGATAAAGCCCTCTCCTGCTTCCCCTCTAGAGACATCTGCTTCTCTCTCTCTCTCTCTCTCTTTCCCCCCACCCACCTTCACCACAACCCCCCAAGTTGGGCAGACGCACCAACAACCCTATGTAAAGCCGAACGAATCTCCTCATTTCGGGGTTCCTCTCCTGTGATACAGCTTACTAGGTACATGCACAGGTAACACCTGGCTCTAATCCCATTGCCCTGTAGGAACTGAGGTGAGGAAAACTGACACAAGATAATGTTCTTGTCACTGCTTTAGCTGCAAACAATAAACAACCTGAGTCTCTGCCACAAGGATCTTGCGTGGTCTGTCAGTGTGTGTGTGTGTTTGTGTAACTGTGGCAGGCTATCTTGCTAGCTTGTATATAATGTAAAAACTCAGACCCTTTACAATTTTGACTTAGCAAAGAGGAGCAAAAAAAAAAAAAAAAAAGACTGAATAATACAATGAACAATGTCTTTAAACATGATTTCCTAATAAATACAGAAATAGTCTCCAAGGGACACTTCCTATATGATCCTCTGTAAAAACGATGGGTCTAACAATGTAAAGAAAGAACTGCTGAGGGACAACATTAGATTTGGAAAGATATTGCAGTGGGAATTTAAAATAATAGGGTTCAGCTATGTTTCTTTTTGATGATCTAAAGATGTAGGCAAAAGGTTTATTAGTACTTAGGCAATCCAATGGTTAACAAACACAAACCATTTTTTACTTTCTCAAACATCTACTATTATAAGAGAGCTATTTAAAAATGCTGTCCTCGGCAGTCCACAGTTGAAATATCTGTTAATTTTAGCCATCCCATCCATTGTCCATTTTCTCATCTAGAAACAGCTAAGGTTTTTATTTGCAGATTCATCCTTTCCTTACTCTCAGGTCACGTGGTGTGGATGGAGCTCCACCCTCCGTTCTGGGAGTATGGAGTACTCCCAGGTAACTGAGTCCTAGGCCAATCTGTGATTCCCCTTCCCTGCTTCAGAGGTAAGCCATTCTCTATGAGTGAACCTCAGGCTTGGCCAGGAATGCGAGGTCAAAGATTCTCACTCTCTTCTGCTGAAACTCAATCTGGAAGGATGAAGCTCTGAAATAGCTGCAAATCATCTTGTGACCATGAGGGACAGGTTGGCCTGATAATGGAGTCACCCCTGAGAAAGCAGAGTCAGGCGACAGAAAGAGAAGGAGGATCCTGAAGGCATCATTTGAGTATCTCTCTCCAGCAATGCCTGAAGCCTTAACGACTCTGGATTGTTCAGCTACATGAACTAATGTATCTCCTCTTTGTTGTAACTCAGTTTGAGCCAGGTTTTTTCTTCCTCCAACAAAGAAGTTAAGTTTATTCACTCTGGGGATCAGGTGCCAGACTTGCAAGACTCCAAATCTGTTGTCACATTTAGAATGCTCTGAAAAGTGTCCAGACTGAAAAATCCAGAATTCTGTGACATAAAACTTAGAAAAAAAAACTTGGTCTGAAAGAGCTTTAAGAATTGTCATCCTTTAACAGAGCCTCCATGAAGCAATGCAGGACACATAACTTGAAATATACCTGGATGTTGATAGGTCTAACAAAATGAGTTTATAGTTAAATGTTCTCAAAATGTTGTGTCAATTAAGGATTGTTTTGGAAACATAGGTTATGGGGAAAATGAAACAAAACATTTATTTTTAAGGTTCGTTGTAAGATTTTAGGTTTGACATACGTAGTAATCTGTATGCTTACATTTAGGATGAACTATTTGAAATTGACAGTTTCAATTAAATAACAAGGTAAAAAAAAAGTCCACACTACTTCCTCTTTTAGATTTATTTAAACCAATATATATATACTATCTTTAAAAAAGGAATTTCTCTTCTCCAACTATTCTTGTTTTATATGTAAATGTGCTACATTTTTCATTTTTCAAATCTTACAATTTTAAAAGTTTCTATAAAAAGGCCCTATACTTTGTGCATATGCAATATTCACTTACCTGCATGTTATATAGGGGTTGCTTTGGCGCATCGACTTCCGTCAGCAGATGATGAGCTATGTCCCTTAACTCTAAAAGTCTACAGACAAGCTGAGGCTGCAGGAGTTCAGCCACTGATTTGGAGGATCTGGATATGCTGTGTAATCCTTGAATTAACGTTCCCCGGTTGATCTTCGCCAAAGCAATGGCCATTCTGATTTTTGATGTTTTCTGCATGGGTTCTCTTTTCTGGAAAATAAGCCTTTGAAAAGTGACTAATGTGTGATTCTCCAGAGAATTACTAACATTTACTTTAGGCAGAGACGACATACCACATAATTGTCTCTGGGTGTGGTCCCATGCATATTTATATCCAGTGTTTAATCATTATATCCCACCCTCTATACAACTCATTGATTGACCGCACCATGTATTTTAAATCTTTATATGAATATGTGAATTTTTTCCTTAGGATAACTATCCAGAATTTAAGTTACTATCATAAACATATAAATTTTTCACTTTTCTGTCTAGGTTTATTTTTTTACATTGATTTTTAAGAGCTTTTTTCAAAAATACACAATTCTTATTCAAATATTATTCACTGTTTAAATTATGCAACCAATAATTCTTATTCAAAGCTTGCAAATATTTTCCAAGATTACTTTCAAATTTTTAAATAATAAAATACAGCATACATACATAATGCATAAAACAAATACCCTATATACTAATCAACAAACTTAGGAAACTTTTACTTCTAAAAACTTTATAACTTCTGTGAGCATTCTGATAGAAAAAACCTTGTGATATTACCAAAACACATAAAATGTAGTTCTTTCTTTGCTCTACTAGAAAATAAACCACAGGGAAATTACTTACAATGTGGTCAGACTGTTCCAGGCAACAGGGAAGTATAGTTTTCATTATTCATTTAAATAATGTTATGGGCTTTTTTTTGGCATTTTAGTATAAGCAACTTAGAATCTCTATTTGTTGAGTCAAAATTTAAGTTTAAAACATATTTTAACTGCATTTTTGGTTCCACAATGAACATTATATACTTGTCTAAGAGCTATTACACTATATATTTAAGATGCCTCAAATTTTATTTCTAAGTAGTAACAATTTTATTATTGTTGCCTTTGCCCTCAAAGTTCAGTCTTTTCTTACTGCTCGGCATTTGCTGGAGATACACAAAACTGTTCTAGCCTATCAGTGAGGATGTATTTCGGCAGCATCTGGTGCCCCTGTTGTGTGGTTTAACCTGTTAACTCTACTGAAGGAGTCCCATTAGCTCACTGTGCTCTTCACCTCATTAGTCAATAGTAACAGAATGCAACCAAAACTGCAGGCTGCTGCAATTACTACACTTCTAAGACATTCTATTTATTTTTTTTTATAACACTTGTCCTAATTTTTCTGCTTTGGTCCTCCTCTTTCCAGTCCACCCCCCACATGTACAGTCAATACCCATACCACTGTCCATGTCCATGGGTCATTCATACATGTTCTTGACTAGTCCTTTCCCCTTCTTTCCAACATTACCCCCCTACCCCGTCTCCACTGGCCACCATCAGTCTGTTCCATGTTTTCATGCCTCTGGTTCTATTTTACTTGTTACTTTATTTAGTTCATTAGATACCTCTTAAAAGTGAGATCATATGGTATTTTTTTCACTGACTAGCTTATTTCACTTAGTAAAATACTCTCCAGTTTCATCCATGCTGTTGTGAAAAGTAGGAGCTCCTTCTTTCCTTCTGCTGTGTAGTATTCCATTGCATAAGTGTACCAGAGTTTTTTGATTCACTTATTTACTGATGGGCACTTAGGCTGTTTCCAGCACTTGGCTATTGTAAAGAACACTGCTATGAACATAGGGGTGCCTAAGTTCTTTTGAATTGGTGTTTCAGGATACTAAGGATATATTCCCAGCAGTGGAATCACGGGGTCAAAAGGCCATTCCATTTTTAGTTTTTTGAGGAAATTTCATAGTGCTTTCTAGAGTGGCTACACTGATATGCATTCCTACCAACAGTGCAAAAGGGTTCCCTTTTCTCAACATCCTCACCAGCACTTGTTGGTTTTGAATCATTGAGGTTGGCCATTCTGACAGGAGTGAGATCTCCTCATGGTTTTAATTTGCATCTCTCTGATGACTAGTGATGTTGAGCATCTTTCCCTATATCTATGGGCCCTCTTGTATGTCCTCCTTGGAGGAGTGTCTGTTCATGTCCCTTGCTCATTTTTAATTGGATTATTTGTCTTCCTGGTGTTGAGTCATATGAGTTCTTTATATGTTTTGGAGATTAAACCCTTGTCTGCTGTCTCATTGGCAAATATATTTTCCCATACAGTCAGTTCCATTTTCATTTGATGATTGTTTCTTTAGCTGTGCAGAAGCTTTTTAATTTGAGGTAGTCCCATTTATTTTTTCTTTACTTCCCTTGCCATAGGAGGTATGTCAGCAAAAATATTGCTACATGGGATACCTGAATTTTTTTATTTATTTATTTATTTTTAGACAGAAGGGAAGGCAGGGAGAGAAACATCAGTGTGTGGTTGCCTTTCACATGCTCCCAACTGAGCCCTGGCCTGCAACCCAGGCAGGTGCCCTGACTAGGAATACAACCTGGGACTTTTTGGTTTGCTGGCCAGCACTCAATCCACTGAGCCACAGAAGCCAGGACTGGATATCTGAAATTTTACTGCCTCATTTTTCTGCTGGGGCTTTTATGGTATTTAAGTCTTTTATCTTTTTTAGTTTATTCTGGCGTATGATATAACTTACTGGTCTAGTTTCATTTTTTTTGCATGTATCAGTTCAGTTCTCCCAACACCATTTATTGAGAGGCTGTTTTTATTCCATTATATGCTTATGTCACCTTTGTCAAATATTTATTGATCATAGACACATGAGTTTATTTCTGGGCTCTCTATTCTGTTCCATTGATTTATGTGTCTGTTCTTATGCCAGTACCACACTGTTTTGACTATAGTGGCCTTGTAATATAGTTTTACATCAGGTACTGTGATCCCCCCAAGCTTTTTCTACTCTCTCAAGATTGCTGAAGCTATTCGGAGTCTTTTTTGGTTCCATATAAACTTTTGGCATATTTGTACTAGATCAGTGAAATATGTAATTGGTATTTTAATTGGAATTGTGTTATATCTATAGATTGTTTTGGGTAGTCTGGACATTTTAATGATGTTAATTCTTTTACTCCATGAACACAGTTCATGCTTCCATTCATATGCTTCGTTTATCTTCCTCAATTTCTTTCTTCAGTGTTCTATAATTTTCCTAGTACAGGTGTTTTATATCCTTAGTTAAATTTATTTCTAGGCACTTTATTTTTCTTGTTGCTATATAGCAAGTGGGATTCGTTTTTTTAGTTTCTCTTTCTTTTAGTACATTTGGTATACAAAACTGGTATTGATTTCTGAATATTGACTTTGTATTGTACTACTCTGGCAAATTACTTATTAGGTTGAGTAGTTTTCTGGTGGAGACTATAGGGTTTTCTATGTAAACCATCATGTCATCTGTAAATAATGACAGTTTTGTTTCCTCCTTTCCAATTTGGTTGCCTTTTATTTCTTCTTGTCTAATTGCTGTGGCTAGAACTTCTAGTACTATGTTGAATAAGAGTGGTAAAAGTGGACACCCTTCTCTTGTTCCTGATTTTAAGGAAAAAGTTTTTTGTTTTGGCCCATTGAGTATGATGTTGGCAGTAGCCTGCTTTGCTGTTTTTATCATAAATTGGTACTGGATTTTATCAAGTGCTTTTTTAGTATCTATGGATATGATCATGTGGTTTTTGTCCTTCATTTTGTTTATGTGTTATGTTTATTGATTTGCAAATATTGTACCATCCTTGCATCCTTGAGATAAATCCCACTTGATCAAAGTATATGATCTTCTTCATATATAGCTTGGTCTGGATTGCCAATATTTTGTTGAGAATCTTAGTATCTATGTTCATCAGAGGTATTGGCCTGTAATTTTCTTTCTTTGTTGTGTCTTTACCTGGGTTTGGAATTAGGATAATACTGGACTCATAAAAAAGTTTTGGAGTCTTTCTTCTCCTTGAATTTTTTGGAATAGTTTAAGAAGTTCTTCAATAGTTCTTCCTTGAATGTTTGGTGAAATTTGCCTGGAAGCCATCTGGCCCAGGGCTTTTGTGTGCTGGGAGGGTTTTTTATTATTACTGCTTCAATTTCACTAGTTGTTATCAGTCTATTTAGGCTTTCTGCTTTGTCTTGTTTCAGTTTTGGAAGATTGTATGTTTCTAGAAATTTATCCATTTTGCCCAGGCTGTCCAATTTCTTACTATGTTCATAGTAATTTCTTACAATCCTTTGCATTTCTGTGATATCAGTGTTAGTCTTCTATCATTTTTTATTTTATTTATTTTAGTCCTCTCTGTTTTTTCTTGATGAGTGTGGTTAAAGGTTTGTCAATTTTGTTTATCTTTTCCTAGAACCAGCTCCTGGATTCATTCATCATTTGATCAATGTCTCCATGTCATTTTAGTCTCTATGTCATTTGTTTCTGCTCTGACCTTATTTCCTTCCTTCTACTTGCTCTGGGCTTTGTTTGTTGTTGTTCCTCTAGTTCTTTTAGATGTAGGGTTAGGTTGTTTATTTGAGATTTTTCTATCTTCTTTAGGCAGGCCTGTATTGCTATGAACTTCCTCTCAGGACTCCCTTTGCTGTGTCCCATAGGTTTTAGGTTGTTTTGCGTTCATTTTCATTTGTTTCCAGGTACTTTTTGATCTCTTCCTTGATCTCATTGTTATCCCATTCATTATTTAATAGAATGTTATTTAGTCTCCATGTATTTGTATGTTTTTGAGTTTTTTTCCTTGAGGTTGGTTTCTAGTTTCAAGACACTGTGATCCAAGAAGATGCTTGATATGATTTCAATTTTCTTGAGTCTTTTGAGGCTTGTTTTCTGCCCTACCATGTGGTCTATCTTTGAAAATTATCTATATGTATTTGAAAGAATATAGATTTTGCTTCTTTGGGGTGAAATATCCTGTAAATATAAATTAAGTTCATTTGATCTAGGGTGTTATTCAATACCTCAGTATCCTTATAGATTTTTTTGTTTGGATGATCTATCTGTTGTTGACAATGGGGTGTTAAAATCCCCTATGATGACTGTATTACTGTCAATCTCCTTCTTAAAGTCCTCCAAGATTTTCCTTACATATTTATATCTCCTATGTTGGATGCATATATGA